AAATATTTGTGTCTGTAGGTGGCTTTTGTGGAAATGGGTGGCTAAAAACAAAAAAAGTCTCCTGAAAACTTCTTTTGTCATTATCTAATCTTAACCAGAGAGTAAGGTATCAAAAGATTTTGAAATGACATGAGGACATGAAAGTTACCTGAACTCTCACATGATTATTTTCTCATTCCTTGGGGATCTATACACCTACCACTATTTCTATCAGCATTTCTAGAAGGAGGACGAAAATAACAAAGGAATCAGAAGGACAGCCGTAACGACAGTAAAGAAGCAGTCAAGAAAGGGAAGGATTTTTTTCTTTTTCTTACTGAACAAATCCCTTACCTATAAAATAAAAAGTTTAGATTACATGGCTTCTGGTGTTTCTTCCCTGTGTTTTAAAATAAAATAACTAATACATGTCGAGGACTTCCTGAGTATCTGATACTGTATCTGACACAGTCCTTGAGACAACCTTACAAAGTACTATTATTATCTCTATTTTGCAGGTGAATGAACTCAGATACAGAGAGATCAAGTAACTAAGATACAGAGAGATCTAAAGTAACCTGCCCACTGTCACAGCGAATCAGTGATAATGACCAGATTCGAACTCAAGCCGGATGATCCCAGAGCCTGCAGTCCACAGCCGGTTTCTTACTCGGTAAAGTGAGTATCCCAGAGGCTGCTGACACACGGAACATGCAAAAATACAAGTGGCTGGAGACCTGGGACCAGTTCGAGTTGTGTCAGGTACTGCAATCAATCCAAAAGTAATGATTGAACAGCAGTTACCTTTACCCCAAATTGTTTCATTGTCTGACTGCTGAATTTGAATTGGGGCTATGGAGGATGCTGTTTTGTGGTTTAGTATGAAAGTTTAAAAGTCATTGTGCCAATAGTGACAGCCCAATAACAGTGGGCGGAACTTTTTAAATATATATGTGTCAGGTGTTTGGGGGATAGAAAAGAGCTTGGTTACATTTCTAGAGAGCAAACTCCAGGAAAACCCAGAGATTTAGGAATTCTAAGAGATTTCTACAAGGTTTGCTTCCTTACAGGAATGAATCTGATGGCCCTGAAGAGATAAATCTGTTCTCTGGCCAAGTTTGCAGGTACTTGCTGCAAACTCCCCTGGACTGTGGATGGAAAAACCGATGAGCTCTGAGCTTTTTTTTTTTTTTTTTTAAGTTAAAGGGTTAAAAAATGACCCCTCCCTCCAACCATCCTTAGAATCACACTTTCCAGCGAAGCCTAGTTCCCTTTCCTGGTAGATATAATCCTAATTAAAAATAAATTACATGCTGTATAGAACTTGAAATGGAAAAGATAATCCTATTACATATGAGAACATATCCTGATTTTCTTGCCCACTAAACTGTGGGAGATATCAGATCAGGCTGAGTCCCCCATTGTAGCTGCTTTGAAAACTTTCCTAGAGCCCTAATCCGTCACGTGACGCGCGTGTCAATCTCGGGGGTCTGCACGCGAGTGTCACAATGCGGGCATTAGGCTCGGTAGCAGAAACCCAGCTTCTGCATTCCAGGGAAACGCCGGCCATTGTGGGGCCTGTGTTTGTTCTCAGGATTTCGAGACAGTTGCCGGCGAAGTTGCTAACACCGAGAGAAAGGGGCTCCTTTGAGCCAGCCCAGGCCTTTGGTATGGTAACAAGTCGATCTGGGCGGCTTTCGGGGGGCCGGATCAGCTCCACCGAGGCGAGCTCCGCTCCCCGCCCCCTCCTCCTCCGGCCCTACCTCCCCCGGCACTCCGCTCTCCCGGGGAGTCGCCGTAGGCACTGATGCGCTATTTTCAATCGTATTTCCATAATCTGGAGGCTGCAGGCGGCGGGGGCCAGAGCTCAGTCTGCTCGCGCGCCTTCACACCTCCACCGCCGGCTGGGAAGGGCCTGCGTGCGGGCCTCCGCAGCGGTGCCTGCGCTCTGCTCCCCGAACCCCGGCTCCGCGTTCTGCTCCCCGAACTCCAGCTCCGCGCTCTGCTCCCCGGATCCCCGCCCGCTCTCTGCTCCCCGAACCCCAGCTCCGCGCTCTGCTCCCCGGATCCCCGCCCGCTCTCTGCTCCCCGAACCCCGGCTCCGCGTTCTGCTCCCCGAACTCCAGCTCCGCGCTCTGCTCCCCGGATCTGCGCTCGCTCTGCTCCCCGGATCCCCGCCCGGAGCTCCGCGCTCCGCGCTGCCTGGTGCCGCCGTTGTCGTGGCCACTTCCGAGCGACCGAGGAGCTAGCAGAGGATGAAATGCTTTGCACTTGCTACTAACCGCCCCCACACCCCTCCTCCCGGCTCTTGGCTTTTGCCTGCTCCTCCCACCTTTCTGCCCCCTACCCCCAAACACGCCTTCGTTCATTTCAGTCTTGAGAATGAGCATGATGACGTGGAAATGCTCTGAGTAAAAATATTAGGTTGTTCAGATATTCCTGCTAAGAAAAAAAAAAAAAATTAAACCTCGCGGCTGGACTCCCGCGGTCCAGCCCAGAACTGACAGGCGCCGGGACGCAGGTGTAGGATCCGGTTCGCAGCCACTAGCGACCGGGCTCTGGGCAAGTGCCTAGTCGTGGGAACGCCAGAAGACAGCCTCTCTCCGAGGCCCCGGCCCCTCGGCCCTCTCCCTCCACCCCCTCTCCGCGGGTTCTCGGCTCAGCAGCAGCTGCGGGGCGCCGGCTGACCTCTCCGAGTTACGAGAGAGGCAGCGAGGAGGCCGCTGTCCGACTGCCGAGTCCTGAACCTGTTCGAGTCTGGCTGACCCCGGAAGGCCGGTGAGGGAGGGCGCCAGCGGGCCCCAGGCCAGGGTGGGGGAGTTGCGGGACTCAGAAAGAAGACCAGGATTTTTCGGCTGCAGATAACCCTCCGAGAAACGTCTCTCGGGCGTGAGCAGAGACGGAGCAAGCTATTAACTGGCAGCTGGGAGGGAGAAGAAGCGGAACAGATGGCTCACAATTGGGCTCGTCCTGTAGGGGGCGTCGCTCTTTCCACGTCCCTGCGAGTTGGCAGTTGTCTGGCCTCATTGCTTTTAGCATTCCCAGGGCTGCAAGGTGGAGGAGGTGGCAAAAGGAACCGAGAGGCACGACAGCTCAGAGGTGGCCATCACGTACCCACCGCCCCAGTTTCACAAGAGCTTTTAGTATTGATGGCTGGGGCTGCATGTTTTGCTCTCAGGCAACTCCGAGCACCTCCTTCACCCTGCCTCATCCCCACTGCCCACCCAGCTCCCTGCTTGGTCTCCCTGCTCTGAGGGGACTCTTGTATGTCTTGGTGGGGGCGGGGGGTGGGAGCGACCAGCACATTCCCTCAGATTTAAAGGAAAGGAAAACACAGGAGGCTAGCAGCAGGACCGAAAACAATTCAGAAAAACGCTTACTGAACGCAGTCGGTTTATCAAACCCGTCCATCGCCTTTAAAAAAAAAATTCTTCTATCCCTGACTTTTGTTGTTACCTCTCGTGTGCATTTGCATAACCTGCTCAGTAAAGCTCTTCGACAAGAATCAATAAGAATTCTCCTTGTTCCTGCTTAGAGCCCCATCTCCCTGATCTTCAGGGATGCTGGAGGACGATACCTGTGGGGGACACGAGAAGCCTGACCAGCCTCGGAACTGCCCAGCCCAGGGCTTAGCAATGCCTAAGCCGCACACTTTCTTAGGCAGATGGTTAAGTTCCCCCAGGTTCGTGCCAGGTTTCAACATCATGCTGTGATTTTGTTCTTCTGGAACAGGATGAGTGTTGCTTCCCAGAGAGGCCCTATTAGAATAGAAAGAAAATCCTCTAAATAGGCGGAACAAGGCGTCAGGAGGGAAAGTTCTCTAAACGCACTTTAATACGAGCTGGGTATTGTGTGGAATTCAGCGCCCATCACCGTTTAGCCTGAGAGTTATGGCAGTGATTGGGGATGAATAGAGGAACATAATGGATACATGTGGCGTTTGCTCATTATATTCAAGTTAGCCCAACTCCGCTGTGGAAACTGTTCAACTTTCTCTCCCCTTAGCTTGTCACAGTGAAATAATACAGACATTGGGGCCTCCAATGGGATCGCCTGCCACGCTATTCTATTTCCACTGCTAACGAGGGCTTCATAAGCCTTTGATACAGTCTGATCTTTGAAACCTTTCCAAATCTCCTCAAGCTTATGCTAAATCCTATTTGGAACTTTTTTTTTTCCTTGCCTGCTAGCGCCCAGGACTTAAGAAAGCCATTTGGACAGTGACATGCATACTAACACATCGCAAGGCTCGTTCTTGAAAAGGAAGTGACAACTCTGCTCACTGGGGCTCACGCTAGCAAAACATAATTGCGTACACAAATTTGAATAAAATTAATTTTCCATTCTCCTTTGGGCTCCTTAATCGAGAGGCTATTCTGGGCACCGTGGGAAGCTGGGAGAGAAGGCGAGCAGAGCCTCATCGGGAAGAGCAAGTCCGTGGAGAGAGGGCTGCGGGCGCTTGAAAGCCTCCTAGGTGCAAAATGCAGAGTGGGGGGCGGGGGGGGCGGGAGGCGGTTCCCGAGCCACGAGCGCGAAATCCCACCGTATTTGCTCTTAAATCAAGCAGCCATCACCAGAGGGGCACAATAAATAAAACCTGTGCCAACTCCTCTACACGCAGGGCGCGATAGGAAAGGGAAAAAGCAAAAGGAGTTAAAGAAACAAAGGAAAGACTCCTTAATTTTCCTTTCTTGTTTTCCCCTCTAAGCCTTCCCACATTAAAGGGATTGTCAGAGGCTGGCGTAGGAGCGGCGCAAGGACTAGGTCGCCATTGGCTGCCTGGCTCGGGTGATTTGCATATCGACGGCTATAAAAACGGAGGCGGCGCTCGGCGGCGCAGCGCGAGAGAGGAGAAAGGAGAGCGAGGTGCAGAGTGAAGGCGGGTCCGCGCGTCCCTAGCGCCAGCGCCAGCCCCAGCCGCCGAGCTGAAGCCGGCAGACTTCTCTCGCACCGGGCTCGCAAAGAAGGTGCTCCGAGGAGCCTGGGACTCACGCCCGGACCTGCAAACCAGAGAGGAATCTCTTCTTCAGCCTTTTGGAATAGCACTTGGGGCTGGCGGCATGAGTCCAGCGAGGCGCCGGGGCATCCCCTGCCTTTTCCCCTTGCAGCTCTTCAGCCTCTGTTGGGTGCTCTCAGTGGCCCAGAGCAAGACAGTGCGATACAGCACCTTCGAGGAGGATGCCCCTGGCACGGTCATCGGGACTCTGGCTGAGGACCTGCATATGAAAGTGTCGGGGGACACAAGCTTCCGCCTGATGAAGCAATTCAACAGCTCGCTGCTCCGGGTGCGCGAGGGCGACGGGCAGCTGACCGTCGGGGACGCGGGCCTGGACCGCGAGCGGCTGTGCGGCCAGGCCCCGCAGTGCGTGCTGGCCTTCGACGTGGTCAGCTTCTCGCAGGAGCAATTCAGGCTGGTGCATGTGGAGGTAGAGGTGAGGGACCAGATCCCCGTGGAGGTGTCGGAGGGCCCAGATCCCCGTGGAGGTGTCGGAGGGCGCGGCGGTGGGCACGCGCATCCCCCTGGAG